CTACAAAAATGTTCCCAAAGAGTAAAAGATGCATCTTTGATCTACTTCTACACTTTATCTTAGGATAGGATTAGGATTCAAGGATCAAGATGCAATCAGAAAGAAATTAGGTAAAATGACTCAGCAAAAAAGTAAAATAAAAAGGAGTGGTAGGAATAACGGGCTCCAGAAAATGTAACTAGCTAAACTACTTTTTAACGACTCAGTGAATCAACTGATAATCATATAATGATCGGAACCGCTTCAGCTTCAGGAAATCCTAAGAGAAAACTGAAAATGAAGTTTTGAGTTGTTTGTTCCTGTCAGTGAATCACACTGACGTGCTGCTGTGTGTGAAACTAGTTAAACAAAAACTTGGGTTGTTCATTACATTACACATTATAAATAACTTTGGCAGCAGCACACTGTTAAATGGTTGCGAACTGGTTAAACAGGTTAAATAGATTTTCTGGGAACCAAGTCAAGTTAAGATAACTCCTGTACTCACTTTTACTCTTTACTTTCACTTTTACTTACTACCCTTCAACTACAGCTCTTCAAAGAACCTTAGCCTCAGTTTTGTTATACTGGCACTCTTATTAGACACCAGTGTTCATGCATTTCTCAGTTTGACTCAGTATTTTAGTGAGGATTTTGTACAGAAACTTTTCAGTAAACATCTCTGTAAGTGTAAAAATATTTAACAAAAAGTCAGATGGCTGAGATCAAAGTAAGAGAGAACTCTTTGGGAAAGTTCAGAAACTACTCTGTGTTTTCGATTCTCTGCCAAAACAGCTAATACAGTGATTTAATCCAGTGCTTCCAGTTTATACTTTACTTTGATTACATCACTGAAACTTTTCATTTTTCTACTTTCTTTTTGGCTTCTATAGCTCAGGTAAAGGTAAAGGTATACATATACTTTTTTAAAACCCTATAGCAATAAGTGTAATATATGGTATTTTTTTTCCTCTCTGAACTTAAAGTTTCAGGGAGACCTAAAGTTAGAGCTAAAAATGACTCACAAGAAAATTACTTTCTTTCCTACTGAGAGAAAAACAGCTTATGGGGATTTTGCCTGCCACCAATGAGAATCTACGTTGATTTATTGAATCTGCTTATCATCCGTTATATCAGATCAAATATATATTTCCCATTTTTCAGTGTCACATTTAGATTACAAAGGTCATATGAAGCACAGGAAGAAATGATCTTTTTCCACTTGTGACTGATTGACAAACATGATCGTCTGTCATAAGTTTAGTTTGTTGCAATAAAAAAATATTGTGAAAAATAAGGGTTGCCAAAGAGTTTCTTATTTAGTAAGTAGGTGGTTTTGCTGTCTAAACCACACAAGTTCTTTTCCCTCCATTTGCAGTCTGTATGCTAAGCTAAGCTAAGCACACTCCTGATTTCTACTCGTTAAACAGATTTTTAGGTATCTTCATCCTTTCATCTCGTGTGTGTGTGTGTGTGTGTGTGTGTGTGTGTGTGTGTGTGTGTGTGTGTGTGTGTTCTTTAGTTAATTAGTGTAATTGCTTTATATAGCACATATTCTGGCTTGGTGTTGCCTAATAAGCCAACTTGTCACATGATCCACTTAGTTAACAGCTGACACACATTAAATATTTGGAATTTTGTTACTGGAAACTGTGCATCCTCTTCTTTTATTATGTATTTTCCCAACCTTTCTTATATATTTCCACAATTTTCTCAATATGATAGAATTTTAAATATACATACACATTTTTCAGTCAGTGATTTCCATTGATAGAAATCTCCAAAAGTTGATTCTGTTCATATGGATATGAAAAGTGGCAGGTTAGCCTTGTTAGACTGTGAGATTTCCATCAGTAATGGGGGACAGCTAAAAGCTGATGTGTACCATAAACCTACGCATACGGATCAGTATTTAAGGTTCGACTCTCATCATCCACTGGAGTATAAACTGGGTGTCATCAGGACGCTACAACACAGAGCGAACACGATCCCCACAGACACAGCAGCCAGGGAGGCAGAAGAACATCACATCAAGAAGGCCCTGAGTAAATGTGGTTATCCCAGCTGGACTTTTGTCATTTACATCTACAGGCCAGTGGACACTCTTTCAATGATGAGGATGTGCACATCCTGGACAGGGAGGAATGCTGGTTTGAGTCAAGGAGGCCATTTACGTGAAAAGGGAAAGAGCATCTCTGAATTGAGGAGGGGGCCTAAGAGTACATCTTTCGCCATCGTACAATGCTGTGATTGCAGCCATTCCCCAACTCTCTGTGAATGGTACTCATGGCCATTGATCAGTGGTTGTTGATCAATGGTCATGAGAATTTGCATAATCATGATAAAGGAACTGACCTCCCAGCCCATTGTTCCTTCAGTGGGCTGGTTTCAGTCATTATGCAAATATGCTGTTTATAAGATTGGGGAAACCTGCATGAATGACGAAACATTTCTCCCACTGAAAACGTTACGTCCAGATGAACAGAATCACCTTTTGGAGATTTACTTACCTGGATGATTGAGCATGCATTAAGATAGAAATCTTGTTTGTTTGTTTTTGATTTTCTGATAAAACTGAGCAAACAGATTATTAAGATCTCCTACAAATCATCTTGTTTTATTCTTGTTGTGGTTAATTTAATTTTTATTTTATTTTTAATACGATAAAAATGTTTCTGTTCCTTGTTAATCATTTATTTAAAAGGTTTTCCTGAAGGAGGCTTTTGAAAGCCTTCAGTCAACATGAAGTTTTTCTGACTACTACTCTGAAGTCTCAGTAGGACCACTGGTGAGGTGCCAGCAAACAGGTGAAAAATATAAAGTTAAACAAATGAATAAATTACAATACAATATTTTGGGGGGAAGGCAAGGAAACATACATGTGCTTGTGCTGGCACATTTACGTAAAATTCAACTTCAACCATTTTTATTCTTTTTGTTTTTTTATTGTGTGTTGCTATAACTTATTTTGGCTTCTAGGCTGAAATAGGTTAGAAAAGGTTTGAGAGCCAGTGATGTATACTGTTATACAAAAGTGTTTTTGTCATTTATTCAGCTTAATAAAGTGTGTACTTAGAGTCAACTAACACTGCATATGTTTGTGTGTTACATTAATACTAAATTCTTTAATTGCCCATACTTACATCATTCCCTTTATTTTAGCTTTTTTGTAGGGAGTTTTACCAGCTCTTAACAGTGTGCCTTGGCTTTAGACAGTTTTGCTATTTTTATGGCTGATTCATTAGTTTGTGATGTGGGTCTCGCAAAAGGGCAGAAATGAGATATCCAAACTGGGGAAAAAAATGTACCCTCTGGGCAGTAATAATATTTATGTGAGATTCCTGTGAAATGTGGCCAGGAGCCAGAGTGACTCTCAGACTCATAAAATGCAAAAGTTTTCTTCCCAGGCTGAATCATGAAGGCCATAATCTGGAAACTGAAAGGATGACTGGGTGCACTTAAATACAGACACTCGGGCATGAAAAAAAAAGATTTGAGCAGAATAAAAGTGCCTCAGTTTATTTGTGTACCTTCGGACCGCTCTTTCCGATTGGGCCTTGCTGTCCAGGATAACCCTGAGGAGGATGAACAAGAAATATTGTTCTCAGATTGTTTTAAATCAAAGGAGAAAAAAGAGAAATGAGTTCAAATATGACGTGAAGAAGAAAATTATATAAAACAGTGAATTCGGGAAATTTTAGAAATGAAAACACTAAATAAGCTGCTTTGTACTAGAGCCTGAAGCTTAGGAGCTTGTGTCACTTTAAAAGGAGGAGTCTGAGTGATATCATCTGTTGCTACGTAGATGGAACACAATTAAATAAAGGAAGATTAAACCACAAGGCAACCCTTGACAGAGTCACATGTGTACCGCTATAGTATGCGTCAGTATTTGTTGTAATGGAAACCCGAAGAAAAGAGAAACGTGAATCTCCTCATCCCAGGAAAGGTTTATGGAATTATATCTGTGACTCTGTTCTGTGTAATGGGACAGTTTGAAAAGCGTGTTTGGAGGACATAGGAAAAAAAAGTTGTACGTTCTGCCTTTCGTGTAGATTTAATCAAATTCACAGCTCACAGCTGATGAAATTTCCTCCTGCTCATTTGCTAATAGAGGTAAAACTAACTACTGTGCGTCTCAGATTGAGCAAACTTGGGACTGCACAGACAGAGAAGTTATTAATACACTTTTATGCTGATTAAAACAAGCATGCTGAGATATTTGAAGATATTTTGTCTATTGCATAACATAACTAATGCATAATTGAATAGAGTCCCAGATATATATTAATACACCAGAGAAACTGCATCATCAGATGTCTTAAAAACCTTTGATACAATGTTTTGAATCGGTTTTTTGATTTTAAAAAAAATTGCCAAGAAAGGAAAGGTTATGGAAGTCAAATGAGATTAAAATTCAAATCAAATGATGACACATAGAGTAAATGTTAAGATGTTTAGGTAGTTTCCATGACCAGTAATGATGTGTCTTACAGTGTAGCCTCTCTCGCCAACATCACCTGGAAACCCAGGGGCTCCTGTTTGACCCTGTTGACGAAGAACAAACATGTTTAGATCGACACCAAGACAGCTGTGACTTTAACCGGCACTGCTGGTTATCAAAAAACTGTGCAATAAACAGCTAGACATAATGCAGAAGAATAAAAATAATTATTTTCTTTTAAGCAAAGAAACTGTGTCAGTTTTTGATCATAGACATTTTAAACCACCTTCAGTTGTGTGCCAGGGGAAATCACCAAACATTTTCTTTTTTGAAGAATTTAAGTACGTGATACTTATATACCTTTGGTCCGTCTCTTCCCTGAGGACCTTGTCTGCCTTTGTCACCAGGAGCGCCCTAAAAAAGAAGAAACACATCCATCCAAAGTGCCAAAAACTAATAAACCACCAGAGCATTCAAAACACATGGTTAAAAACTTTATTATATTATTCAGTGTAAATAAATTCATAAAATACAGAAACTTAAAATAAAAAAAATCATATACACACTGTATACACTTTAGTAACAAGTACTGATTGTTACTGTTATTACTTGTTAAACCAGTATTTTATTCAATAATTTATTAAGAAAAAAACAAAACAATAAAAATCAGTTTATTTCCATGTCTTTATGGGCCTATTTACTTGGCCAAATAAATAAATAAAGATAAAAATTGAAAAGAACCACTAATATTTGAGTTTATAAATACTGATACTAATAAATGATTAATAAAATAATTTCAGCATTTGCCTCATCAAAATGTTACTGAACATAAAACACAGCTGCGTTGTTGTATTCCAGTCGTGTAATTATCATGAGGACATAGTTATCACTCTTTTTTTTCCTTTACCTTGATACCTTTAGTCCCTCTTCCTCCAGCAGGCCCAGCATCACCACGACGACCCTGAAATAACCAAAAAACTCAATTACCACCTTTTCCAGTTGTGTGGCTCCATCAGCTCATCAAGTTCTAGGGTTGAATCCATGTCTATAATATTAATCTCCCCAATCCAGGGTCTAGCCAAAAGTAAAATGTGGTGATTTATGGTGAATTGTGGCACTGAAACATTAACTGGAAAATGCTGTCTCATCTATTCATTAAAAATTGCATCATCACTTTATAATTTTAGTTAATTATGTCATTTATTCATTTATTTTTTGTCCTAATTTGAACATCAAAATTTATGTTCTTTCCTGAGTCAAAGTGAAACTTTGTGCCTAATATGAAGAACGATTCTAGAGGTTTGAAAGAAATTGTTGTGTTCACAAGAGCAGGATTCTTTTGCAGGCAAAAACTCTTCAGTGATTTACCATGTCACTACCCGATCCGTACCGGAAACCCAATCCGTACCACGCATGTGCGAAAGGCATCTACTTCCACTCGAAGCATTTTATTATAGTTACGGGTCAGCGTATCTGTTAAGATGTTAACAATAATAAGTATCTGTTAAAATGTTTGCAATAATGAAACATTTCAATACAATGTAGACCAAAAAAAAAAAGTTACGGATCAGGCCTCCCCAATCCTTACTCACATGTTCAAAAGTCAGACCGTACAGATCCGGTCTACCCGATCTTACCGCCTACGTGCAGATGTTCTCTTCTTCTTCTGTTTCGTTGTGTATGCGTGTTAAATTTGATTTAGTAATAGTCGAGTGTGTTTATGTTTGTCTATGTGGAGAGGATTGATTGGAATTGTGACGATGATGTCCGCTATCACTGTCAATTGTCAGTAAACACTTAATTTGGCTGATGAATCTTCACGTGACTCATTACAAATGTTTATTTTTAGACACAATAGGCTTGTATACGGAGGTATCCATTGTTTAAATGTCCCGGGCAGTCGAAAAGGAAATATGTCCAGAAATACTAGGAGCTTACTTGGCGCTAACCATGTCATTGAAATACATTAACTGTCACAATGTTGGCAAAGAGAGGAAGTGACGAAAGATTCTCGCGTGCGTGGTACAGATCGGGTAGCGACAAGCATCATAACAGATGAAGTAATCATCTTGGCCATCATGTGAGATGGGCTGTGATAAAGTGATAATAACTCCTTTCATACATGAGCAGGGAACTATATTATTTAACTATGGTAGTAATAATATTTTACAATTCTTCAGCCAGTACGGAGTGGCTCTTTGGATCTCATAATACACATAATGTTTGGAAGTCAAAAGGCAGTGCATATCACCCTAAAACACCAGAGCAACATTGAAGTTTGGAGGTGGGAATTTCATGGTTTCAAATATACCAGGATGGAACAAGGGTGGAAAACTTCAGCAAGACAGTGATCCCAAACACACAGGCAAGGAAACTCAGTTGGTGTCAGAGAGAGAAAATAAAGCTGCTAGAATGGCTCAGACCTGACCTGAACCCAATGGAAAATCTATGTAAAGAACTAAAGCTCAGAGTTCATAGAAGGAACTCACAGAACATCTGAATTTGAAAACTATGTAATGGAGAGGGCCAAAATCACACCTGAGTAATGCTTGTGACTAGTTTCTCCACACAGGAGACATCTTGTCACCGACAAAGGCTTCTTTACGAAGTATTACATACATTTCAGTCAGCGTGTTCAATATTATTTTCCTGTGCCATTTCTCATTATTACAGATAACTTTGAACATCTATGGTTTGTTTTCTTAGCATGTGTGTGTGTGTGTGTGTGTGTGTGTGTGTGTGTGTGTGTGTGTTTGGAAACAGAGGGGACCAATTGCTACAATTTTGAGAGTGACATGTTTTTCTATTCTTGCTTGATATAGGATTTCAGCTCCTCTGCAGTTCAACAACAGAGGCTTCCTTTGTGAAAATTTCAAGTTTCCAAATGGGCCCAGTGCTTTCAGTGGGTGACAGGTCTGGACTGCAGGCAGACCAATTTAGCAACTCAACTCTTTTGGTACAAAGTCATGCTGCTGTTTTCAGAATGTTGTTTTTGGCACTATCTTCAAGTGAGTATAAACTTTGCTGAACAAAGATTGTCTGAATGGGAGAACATGGTGCTCCCAAACCTATAGAATTGCTGTTTAGCACTGATGGTGCCTTCGCAGATGTACACGTTACCCTCGCCATGTTCACTAACATCAAGCGTAATGGTGCTTCTTTCCTTTAGCCCCAATGAATTGGGCTATATTACACAATTCTTATGTAATTTTCTACACCTCAGTGTCTTCTCACCTTTTCCCTTCCTTAAGAAGAGCTTCTTGGCATCCACTCTTCTCCTGAGCTTGTTGATAATCTCCTTGGTGATGCAAAAAATGATATTTTATACTGTAAAATGTGCAATGTTTAGTATATTTTCTTGTTTCAACCAAAAAGAAAATGAGAATGAACTGTATTTTTTTGTGACATGCTGCTTCTGACAAAGTGCCTAAAGGTCCAATTGCTGTTGTGTGTAGACACAGCACTGTTTCACTCTTTGAATTAGGTGCTTTTTATGAATGATTTATAGGTCAGTGTTTTGTGGCTTAACAAACAAAAACATTCCTCTGAAAATGGTCCGGTACAAGGACTGGACTGAAAATGCGTGAAAAAGCAAAGAAGAACTTTGACATTTCTTCAAAAAACCTGGGGAACTATTACTCAAGACAAGTTTAACAAAAAGTACTTTTTGTTTACTTACATGTATAAATATGTACAGTAATTTACAGAAGAATGTTATTTTCTTTATGTTATTATATTTTCTTTATTTTGTTTTTAATGGCTTTTAATTTGAAATGTGAGATAAAACCTGAACTGGCAGAATGGAGGAGTAACTGATGGGGGAAAAAAACGTCCAAAAAGAAGGAAGAATGATTTTGACTATGAGGCAGGATTTCCAATTTCTAACTGACACCATTACCATGTTACGAAATGAAGCTCCGTCGGATCTGAAAGTTCAAACAAACAGCGTAAAAGACGACAAAGTGAGTCCCAGCATCACTGTCAGACGTATCCCTCCAGGCTGTACATCGCTTTCTCTTCACAGATTAGAGTGTGACTCCTCCTGGTCTGAAGTATTGGAAGGGAATGGCTCATTTTCACAGATGCTGGTTTTTGCCGCCTTGGGCCATGAGAATAACATATACGATTTCTAAAAAGCCGAGTGCTCTTTTTACTATATAATTGATGTACAGCGCTGTGGAAGATTGAGCAGGAAAGTTCCAAAAGGAAAACAATCATATAGATATTTCTTCTTGATAAAGGGAACACTATTGCTATTACCCAAATCTTTTAATGTACTTTTTCTGATGCCAGCAGACATTCATTATTTTGACAAATTTCTGTCATGTTTGGAATAAAAACCATATTGTAATGCAAATGACACACAAACTGATATTACCAGTGGGTCATGTAGCACCATGCAAAGGTCTCCCACCATTTCATCACTCAGTTCTTGATATTTTGCTATGAAAATAAAAAATAGGTGCAGCAATTTATTGAAATGCACTTAGGGTCCATTTTTATCTGTCCTTAACTGGCCTCTCAGTGGAAGCCTATATATAAAAATAAAAAAAAACACCCAGCACGCCCCTGCGGGCAGTTTATCCTTCAAGCT